TATATCACTCTTCTTTCTATCTTTATCTATTTTTCTGTTCACAATCTCTCCTCATCCTCTTAATTATCCTCTTTTTTCTTCCACTTTCTTCATTCTCTTTGTGACTCTATATCAAAGTAACTTTCTACTTGCATACCAAAGTAAATTAATAATTTATCAAAAGTCACTCAATGATTAGTTTAATAACTTCATCACTATTTGATGATCTCTATTTTAAAAGACCAGCCATTGGACGGTAGATTAATTATTTGAAAACTTGTCCAATGGCTACTTAGTGGAACATACTACGCAATATCACCTTTAGCTTTAGGTCAACTTTTAAGAATTAGTATTTTATTTAGCGAATATAGGGAGGACCCAATCTTAGGAGTTCCTATTCATTCTATGGAAAAGAAATTTAAAAAATATTGGTCTAAGTTGCCTTTGTTGTATGATTTAAGTACTATTTTTGATCCTAGATTAAAATTAGAAGGTTTAGAAAGTGGATATATTTTCGATCTCAGTCTCCACTATTTCATCCGAACAAGCCTTCAGTACGATAGGAAGAATACTTGAGGAACGCCAGAATGCATTGCAAAGGGATATTGGTGAAGCCTTGGTTTGCATTAAGGATTGGGATCGGGCCGATCAACGTCTACAAGATACAATTTCACCAGCAAGCCAAGAATGGATCGATGAATTTAAGTATTTGTCATTGTATAACTTTGTAAGCTTGTAAAATTTGTAATTCGTCACAAAATGATTGCACTCTTTTTTCCTTGCTAAGTTTTTATCCCAATTAGGTTTTTCTTGGTAAGGTTTTTAACGAGGCAATCATGACTTATAAATTTAAAAATTAATAAAGAAATAATTTTTTTATATAGTTTGTGTGTTCATTTCAAATTTTAAATTGTAATATATATATATATATAAATTTTAACACAAAATAACTTAATATTAAAAAAAAATTAAAAACAAATTTGGGCTACTCGAGCGGGCTCGGGCGGCCCGGCCAGGCTCGGGTGGCCTAATACAAGCCGGCGGCCCGTTCAAGGTGAAATTCAGGCTCGAGCGGGCGGCCCAAATTTTTCAGGTGGGTCGGGCTCGGGCTCGGGCAAAAACACGATTTTTCGGGCGGTCGCGGGCGGCCCGTCCAAAGTTCCAGAACTAACCACACCAATACTGACGATTACAAGCTAACTAACATAGAAGATTGATCTTACTATAACTTTGTAATAGTAATTAATAATTAATTATTTAATATAACTTTGTTAATACTTATTAATTATACTGTGTTAATTTCCACACAATCTAAAAGTTAAAGTTATTTTTAGGTTACTTCTGATTTTAACTAAAAATTCTTTAAAAATTATTTTTTTATAGTTTTTACCAAATACTATTATAAACTTTTAATAATTAGAGAAGTGATTTTAGATGCTAAAAAAATACTACCAAACGCACCATATATGTCGTCTGAAATTTGTAGCAGGTTGTCTTTTAAGTGTAATTATCATTGCCCTTTTAGCACTCTTACATGCCCGCCCTCAATGAATTTTGATGGTAGAATGACATTTTTATTATTAAATAATTTCATGTCATTTTAATTAATGTCCAAGATTTGAGCGGGGAAAATTTCCCCCAATATTAAAAGTGGGGTATATAGAAAAGCTCCTTTTTACTACAATATTAGATTATTTTTTTAACGATTAAATTTGTGAGTGTTTATGTTAAAAATATAACGTGCGACACATAATTATTCTTACTCACAAATTAAATTGTTGAAAAATTAATTTAATAATTAAAATTACAGTTCTTACTAATAGAGTAAAATGACATTTTTTTTATCATGAAAAGTAAAATGAAATTAAAGTTGCCATCAACAATATTGGTACGTACCATAATACTCTCCTTATGTTGCTAGCCAGGAAACTACAGTAGATAAGGTAAATACTTGAGGTTCCGATTAATGAGGTTTCAGAACACAGAAGTAGTAATAGACGTCCATGTCGTTATTAGAGCATATATATATA